CACACACACACACACACACACACACACACACAAGAAAAAAAAGATAATTTAGTACTATATCTGAAGTTTATCTCGTAGTCAGGCAAATGTCCCCTATAAAGGGGCAGACCTTAAAATTTGTACTGCAGCTAACCAGTTTTTTTTGTGGCTTCAACTTCTAACTTCTGTTTTTGTCTTTTGCGTATAATATGTCAGCATCTACTACAGGTAAGATATTCTTAACTTTTCAGAGAACCTCCCTTTGAAATGTCCAAAGTGTTTTTTTAAGTGCTGCTAATGTGAATAGCAAAACATACATGATGACACACATTCTTTACTGCCATAAAGAAGCTGAATAAACAGTCACAAAAAAAGGGCAGTTCTGCAATGACCTGCTGGGAATCAAAACAAAGATGAGGCATTATTTTCACACATTTATTCCCTGATAGAGGCGTTTCACATTTATAAAAAACTGACTTTTAATTAATGACTCAGTCTGAGTCATCGTCAGAGCCTCTCTTTGTGAAAAAAGACAAAAACAATACTCTGGATGTTAGTCTGCAACTATGTGGCTTAACAAGCAGTTAGTCATGTCCCATGTGTTTAATGCAGTTCTGTCAAAGGATATTTAGATGTGGGAGTATATGTTTAGTAAAATAACATTGAAGCACCTTGGAGGTGATGTTTCTTTTCTCTCAGTTTTGAAATCCATATTTGGTTTCACTATATATAAGTGTAGACACAAGGAGAGCCTTTTGTGCTTCAAATGGGATAGGCTCTCTCAGCCATTTCTTTTCAGTGACAGAAAAATGTGCCTTCTTTAGTACATTTACATCTCAGTCTGATAAACACTCGCAGCCTGACAGGAGAGACGTTGGATAACAGCCTCGCTGCCCGCCGTTCCATTTCAACTCTGTCGCGTCTAATCCTCAACATTTGAGTCCCAAAACGCTTTCTGTCACCATTTCAGCATCACCGTGGACGTATTGAGCTGTCAAATCAGTTGCTATTTTCTCTGTCATCCAGCAATTCTGACTATTAAATTACACGGCGCAAAATGACTCGACTCGGCAAATGCCATCGGGATCAAAACTATTTAAAGCCAGGGGCGTTCAGTCGCCGCTGATGTTACCCACGTTTTACCTTCTACCTCTAAATGGATGAGGCGAGAAGAGGCGATAATATCATGTTTGAGCTTCTTCAGCTGAGATTGCGAACAGTTTTACCTGCTGAACAAAGTAACACGGGCTCAGTGCATTCACAAATCACTTTCTGTTATAGGAATGTGTTTCATGTATTGAATGGAGCTCTCACTGCACATCGTGCTCGTCCACTTAGATGCCAGTGTTTTAAACAGAGATGTCCCATGATCTGCTAATGCTCAGGGGATGTGATGGAAATACTCTCAGCTACTATCAAACCAAATTTACACCCATATTTTAAAAAAAATCAAAGTTTACGTTGTTTTACATTGGAGTTGACCTCAAGTTAATCAGTCGTAGAGTGAGTCAGTTTCTGACGGTTTCGTTAAGTACATTCCGAAGTTAATGAGATATTTTGCGAACAAGCAAACAGGGTTGACTTAAAACAATCGATGCCAACGTTTTAACAGTCCTGCTGCTGTGTGGGCAGCTGAAGGGTTAAGAAAAAATAGTTAGCAATTTGTTAGCCGAGAGTTTGTTGGAATGACACTTAGCTACTACCACACAAGTTTCACTCAACATCTGTAAAGCTGACCTATTTACAGTGTACTCATTTCTGTGTTTAATAAGTTTAGTTTAAATGTATGGGGTACCAAATGTAAAATAAAATGTTAAAAAATGTCCACTAACATTTTATTGTTTTTTTAGCTCACTGTTCTTACATTTTTTAAATAAATGTTAAATTTAAATATTATGTCTAAAAGTTAAATCCTATTTCTAAATGTTGGGGCTAAATTTAAGTATTTCAGAATGGAAAGCAGCCTTTGTTGTTAGTGCATGACATTTGTTGTAACATCATCATCCTGCAACTAAGGCTACCACCGCTAACACTGCTAATGCTGCTAACACCGCTAATGCTGCTAACACTGCTAACACTGCTAACACTGCTAACACTTCCCTACAAACCATCAAACTTGCAGTTGCGTCTGGTGTCTGAGCAGCACTTAATTTTTCATTTTTATTGGCGTTAGCAGCGTTAGCTTTTGTCGCGTGATGATGACATCACCACAAAGCCGAGCACCAACAGGAAAGGCTGCGTTCAGAAATTCCTAAATGCATTTTTCTTTATTTAGCAGCCACATTTAAGATTTAATGTTTACATTTAGACATAAAATTTAACAGTTAAACATTATATTTAAATATTGAAAATGTGTTACTGACATTTTTTAGCATTTTATTTTACACTTGGTGCTCTATATAAATGTGTCATCATTAATCAGACAGACACGGCAAGTTAATCAGTGTACACGTAGTGATTACTTTTGCAAAGTTTCATATAAATTTGAGATATTTTGCTAAGAGACACGTTTGAGTGACACTTGTCCAATGCAGATATAACGCATTTGCAAACCCTTTCCTGGAATGGGGAATGCAGTACACTATATATTTTTAACCAAAGGTTCTGCAGTTTGAAGCAACTGTTTGCAACTTAAAGGGGACATTCACATTGGATAAGAAAAACAAAATCCCACAACAGTGTGTTTGGCTGCGGGGAAATGGCAAAGCAGAACCACAATTTGTTTTTCTATTTGTTTTCGATTGCAGCTTCACCTTCCCCCCGCCGACAGCCGCTGGCCTCATCTGTCTCTTAGCGGAGACTTGTTCCCCCCTTTCTCTTTGCTGAGACGGGGCACACATCACTCCTCAGATCGTGGGATGCATTACTCTGACACAACTCTGCTGAAAGTATAACTTCAGTGCTTCTCCTACAGCGTGTGGAATAAATGAGCAAACCAACATTTTGGAGGTTCAGTTTTCCTTCCATCCAGCTCATCTACTGCAGCGACAGAGTTGCTCTGCAGGTTTAGCGTGCTGCTGTTGTTTCTGGCTTATAGGGCGAAGCTGAAGTTACTTTTTTATACTTATTCTTCTCACTTTTATACAACAATCACCTTTTTTAATTTTTCAATTAACAACAAACTGCAGGTTAAGTTTTCTTTCCAGTTGTCTTCATAATTCTAAATATATAACTGGGGGAAAAAGAGAAAGAATAGTTGCTCAACATGCTGTTTTCACATCCTGTTTGATCTTTTTTTAGCATTCATTCGACAATAACTGAATTTCAGAGGCTGACCTACATTAAGCCTATGTTTTGAAACACATATTCTTATAAAATGAGGCAGAAAATGAAGATTCTTACCCTTGACAGAGAGGATAAAAAGAGATCTTTCCTGATTGGTAAGGAAGTGCCAGCGTCTCCTGTGCTGATGTTTGGGCTGGCCTTTAGTGCAGATTTACTGGATGAGTTACATGTGGGTGGAGTGTCACGTGCACATATCTGTAAACAGGTAATTCCGATCAGGCATGGCAGAACTTGTCTGGTATTCTGACAGAGAGTTGCAAGGTGACAAAGATGGTGTCATGGAAAAAAAAACTAAGTTTCTAAAAGAGGAATGGAGAAAAACTTAAAGTAATCAAAAATATTCTGGTAATTTTGAAGCAGGGTTCTGTGTTAAAATACCTAATATTACCACTTTGAATGACCTCAGTTTGGGCCAACAGATTTTAATTTTGGCCAGATTGATGAGCTAATGGGTCAGAATTTTGCCAAGACCAAAGTGAATTGCTGCCATCTTAAAACAGAATGCACAATAAAATACAAAAAAAAAAAAAAAAAAAAAAACAGATATTTTTCAATGACCATTTCACCAACAATCATTTTGCTTTACAGTTATTTTAGTACGGGTTTTACTGGCTGAAATGTAAAAGGTAAATGGACTGTAAAAAAAACACATTACGGCAAAGGCTGGTTCACCCCAAAGATCCGGTGCCCCGGCACAAACAGAGCAATGTTGTACAGGTGCTGGTCATGAAATTAGAATATCAAGAAAAAGTAGATTTATTTCAGTAATTCCATTTAAAAAGTGAAACTTGTATATTATATTCATACATTACATACAAACTCATATATTT